AGAGAGAGAGAGAGAGAGAGAGAGAGACGAACATTCCCCATAGGTATTACCCCTCGTAGATTCCTCTGCACACGCTCCTGCGGGACATCTTGGCAGTCAATATTCCGGGAATTCCCGAGACGCCATGCGTATTTCCTCGCCACGGTAGACACAGATGTGTCCCGTCATCTCGATAAGACAGGGCGCGGCCGATTTGTGATAGAAATCCGCGAACATCGATGTATAGTCCGTAGTGGGTGGGTGTTGGTGAACGGCTGGGACACGCGATCGCGTGACAAGATAGAGAAATCTAGTGGATGATGGTGGTTTAAATCTTCTTTGTTTGAGTTTCGCACTGTATTGAAGACATTTTTTTGAAAACAATGATTGTTCTTGTTGTTGCTGTTGTTGTTGTTGTTGTTCATGTAATTGAAGTTGTTGTAGCTGTTTTTGTTATTGCCGTTGCTTCGGTTACTACTGCTTAAAATTGTTGTTTCTGCTGTATTTGTGGTTGATTGGAGGGGGATAGAAGTGTGTGTGTATTTATTTTTGTTTGAATAATTGTTTGTCTGGCTGGGGGGGGGTCTGTTTGTTTGTCTGGCTATTTGTCAATTTGTTTGTTTGTTTGTTGTTTGTTCGTTGACATCCGTTTGTTTCTAGAACACTGTAGTAAAACTGCTGTTATTGCGCTCCGAGTTTCTACAACACAGGATCTGGAAATCACAAACAACCTACTGCACTGGAAGACGCCAAAGGCTCCTCTCCTTTCTCTCCTATAACTGTTTCGATATAATTACGTTGTTTAGATTGCACTATAATAGACTACGTTTTTCAGTAAAACCCTTCCAATACGGGCCCAGTGCCCATAAAGCATAGCGACCCTCCTTGATGTTCTCTGTCTGGTCTAGAAAAACTGAAGATAACTTTAGGTAGCGCCAGACGGAATCTGGCGCCAGGTTTGGGTAAGGGAGATCATTCGATATTACATGACAACGCTCCCTATAATGACTGGCAATTGGCAATAGGACCTGCGCAAAGGTAGAAAAAAGGTGTTCCCTGGTTTTCTATATTTAGTTGTCGCACATGACATGTTGTCTCCATCTCTTGCCAACAGTGGCCGACCTAACCCCGGTCATTTGCAGTCACTTGGCCCGACTGACGGACGCTCATTCGTGATATTACATGTATAAAGTACACATAAAACTGCATCAGTGAAGCAATAATCAGATTATCACATAGAGGCCGTATCCATGTTTTGGCTCTGCCATTTTATTTGTACTTGCCCATGCATCTCCAGGCGCAAAAAGAAATAAAAGTTCCATATTATGTGCCTTGATTAGGGGTGTATTTGACCGTTGCAGATGGGTGGCTTGGCGCCAGCCTTTTCCGGCACCATCCAACAACACTGTTGACAAGCACTGGATGGGAAACCCCCATTCTTTATCACTACCATGTCTCCCTCTCACCCCCCCCCCTCCTTTGTCCACTCCTCTGGGCTCCTCTTTCTGAAGCCCTTGGCTCCTTCTTACTGCTGTCTTTCAACTACACCCCCGATCTTAGAGTAGGTAAGATCTAACACCTAGCCTTCTCGGATAATGGCGAAAAATCTCGGAGGTCCCGTGTACAAGTTGCGCACGTCTAGGATCCCTTGGTGGTCCAAAATGGATAACAATAGATTTCGGCCGCCACCTGTGCAACATTCAAAATTAATTTCTCCCAAACTAATAATGTTTAACGTGTCTCACTCGCTCATATAACTGTTTGCAATTCCGAGCGCAGTAAAACATTTACCAAAACAAACAAAAAACAAAAAAAAACAAAAAAAACATCACCCTCCCTTCTTCCCTCCTTCCAGATCCGGCGGCGCGTCCTCTACTACTTCCTCAACGTGATCATCCCCTGCATGCTGTTGTCCAGCCTGTCGCTGACGGGCTTCCTGCTGCCCCCAGACTCCGGGGAGAAGGTCACCCTAGGCCTCACTGTGCTGCTCGCCTTCTCCGTGTTCATGTTGCTGGTGGCGGAGAACATGCCTCCTACCTCGGAGTACATCCCCCTCATAGGTTTGTACATTGTTTGTTTGTCTGTTTGTTTGACTGTTGGGTTGTTTGTCTGTCTGCTTTTGTTTGTTTACTTGTTTGTTTGTTTGTTTGTTTGTTTGCTTGCTAGTTTGCTTGTTTGTTTGTTTGCTTGCTTGTTTGCTTGCTTGTTTGTTTGTTTGTTTGTATGTTTGTTTGTTTGTTTTTTGTTTGTTTGGTTGGTTGGTTGCTTTTTTCTCCTCTTTTTTATTGGGGGGGGGGGTAACTACCATACATTAATTTTCAATGTTGTATCATTAATTACTTACTTGTAAAAATAAATCTACCGCTCCCCCATAACACACACACACACACACACACACACACACACACACACACACTCACTCACATAATCATGACAGCCCTGCCATAGTTATTTACGAGGCGGAATTTCCACAAAATTACAGCAGCCATGTCCCATAGGTCCGACCCTAGACGGTCAGAGAGATCGAAATAGGTGAGGTGGCAGGTCTTGTAAACTGACAAACGTGGCTCAGTAATGCCCCGCCCTGGACTCGAACGAGGGTCCCTATCATAGGGCAGCATAATACCAGCTGAACCAATGGTGGCCTCATAATAATATGTATTTTTTAAAGACAAAAGTTGGTCTGTTGTTGGGGTTTTGTTTTGTTGTTGTTTGTTTGGGGTTTTTTTTTAAAGGATAGGGGTAGTATTTTAAACCAGGGGGGAAAAAAAAGGGGGGGGGGTATTTTTGGTTTTGGTTTGGTGTCGCTTATAGTTGGGTCGTTTTGCTGTGTTGTTGTTTTTGTTTGTTTTGTTTTTCGTGTTTGTTTTTTTCTTTGTTTGTTTTCATGTTTTTGTATTTTGGAAGTGATGTGTGATTGAGGTGGGAGGGTGGATGAAAGTTTCGAGTTAATTGATTTTCTGGGGTTTTCTTGGGGGAGCGGGGCTGGGCTGGAAGTGGGGGGTGTTTGTTTTGGGGTTTTCTGTGTTCTGTTGTTTGATGTTTTTGGTGGGTTTTGGTGT